TAGATACTTGTTTCTTATCACAGAGTTTAGAGAGGACCTGAGAGTGACTCGGGCATTTCGGAGGGGCCAGCAGAGGACAGGTGCTGCAGTCTAGCTGGAGTGGGTCTGGAGGCCTCATCACCATTGAGCAGAGGTCCTCCCCCAACCAGGTCTGCTCAGAGTGTTTTTGCCCCCATCTTGTTTTAGTAGAAAAAATTTAAAAGTCTTGAGTGGTTTAGAAACTTAGAAATTGTTTGGGCCAACAAATCCCTTAATTTTACATAAGCCCGGAAGGGATCTTTTGATTAATGCCAGAACCTGGACTAGAAACTTAATTTTTTTTTTTGAGGCACAATATTTATTGGTACATTTTAGATATACAAAATGGTAACACTCATGATAGGGAATTTGTACCTGTACAAGATATATCTTGCTTATTCTTCACCCCACCCCCACCCTTCTTCCCCTCCTTATATACCAAAGCTTTGTTTCCATTTTTCCTTCTATTTTCTCCATTTTTCCCGTCTCTTCTTTCCATTCCTCCTCCCCCTCCCTTCTTCCCCTTCTCATTTGAACATTTTCTTCCTATTTTCCAACATCTAGTATACATTTTATGTATTAATTTATGTTATACACATAATATATAGTATATGTTAATATAGTATATATTTATAATTTTATAATTATATATTATATAATATACTATATTTCCAATTTTGGCTCATCACACCAGAGAAGCAATGTGGTATTTAAACATGTGTGTCCAATTTATTTCACTTAAGAGTATGGTCTCAAGGTCCATCCATTTAGCTAGATATGTCTCAAGCTCATTTTTCTTTATGGGACAGTAGTACTCCATTGTATAAAAAGGCCACGTCTTCTTTATCCATTTGTCAGTTGATGGGCATTTGGGCTGTATCCAAGATTTAGCTATTACAAACTGTGCTGCTATAAACATGGGTGTGCATATATCACTAAGGTATGATGGTTTTAATTCTTTCGGGAAGATACCAAGAAGGGGAATATCTGGGTCAAATGGAACCTCCAGTTTTAGTTCTTTGACGAATTTCCATATTGATTTCCACGGTGGTTGTACCAGTCTACACTCCCACCAGCAGTGGAGAAGGGTTCCTTTTTCACCGCAGTCCCGCCAGCATCTGTTATTGATTGTTATTCTTTTCTTTTTTCTTTTTTCAGTACCAGGAATTGAACTCAGAGCCTTGTGCTTGCCAGGTAGACAGATGTGGCTCCACTGAGCTACATGCCTGGTCCTGGTTGCTTTCTTGATAATAGCCAGTTTTTCTGGAGTGAGATGGAAACTCAGCATTGTTTTAATTTGCATCTCTCAAATGACCAATGATATTGAACATTTTTTCATATATTTATTTGCTGTTTCTACTTCTTCATCTGAGTGTTCATCTCAGATACCCAGTTTTTGGATTGGGCCTTTAAATTTGGGGGGGGCGGTCTGGTGTTTTTGAATTCTTTATATATTCTAGATACTAGTCCTTTGTCTGAGGAACAGCTGGCGAAAATTTTTTCCTGCACTGTGGGCTGTCTCTTCACTGTGTTGGTGGTTTCTCTTTCAGTGCAAAAGCTTTTTAATAAGGTGAGATCCTAGTTGTTGATTCTTTGTGATAGTTCCTGTGTGATCACGGTTTTGTTCATAAAGTCTTTGTCTACACCAGTGTTTTCGAGAGTTCTACCTATTCTGTCTTTCAGCAGATTAAGTGTTTTTGTTTTAATATTTAGATCTTTGATCCATTTTGGGGTTTTTTGACCCATTTTGATTTTAGTTTAGTGTATAGTGAAAGATATGGGTCTAGTTTTAATCTTAAGCAAGTGGAAAGCCAGTTTTTCTAGCACCATTTATTAAAGAGGCTGTCCGTCTTCCAGTGAAAGTGTTTGGCTTCTTTGTCAAAGATAAGGTGGCTGAGTATGTCTGGAGTTGTTTCTGAATCTTCTAATCTGTTCTATTGATCCTCAGGTACATTTTTTTGCCAATGCCATGCTGTTTTTATCACAGTGATTTTCAAGTTAGGGATTGTGATGTCCTCTGCCTTGCCTTTGTTGCCCAGAATTGCCTTTGTTATTTTAGTTCTCTTCTGGTTCCAAATGAATTTAATTCTGTGAGATATGCAGTTGGAATTTTGATCGGGATTGCATTAAATCTGTATAACCATTTTGGAAGTAAGGCCATTTTCACTATACTGGTTCTTCCTACCCAAGAACAAGGGATATCTTTCCATTTTCTGATATCCTCTTCTATCTCCTTTTTCAGAGTACTGTAGTTTTCAATGTACTTCCTTCATTAGATTGATTCCTAGGTACTTCATTTTTTTGGATGGTATTGTGAAAAGGCCAATAAGAGTTTGACTTGTGGACAGAGGGAGAAATTAGGGTTGAGTTCTTGGCTTCTGGGGGAAGATATTAGGACCACCACTTGAAATGGTAGTCTAAGGATCTAAGGAAGAGGGAGCGGGTGTTAAAAGTCAGGGATGGGGATAAGGGATAATAAGTTTACTTGGGGCATCTCTGTGTGAGGAACATGTGAGACATCCAGGTGGAGAAGTGGAGAAAGTGATTGAATAGATCAGTATGAAACTTGGGACAAAGGCTTGGGGTGGAAATCTGTGTTCGTAGTCATCAGCGTAAAGATGAGGCAGGCACAGCCCAGAGTGGACAGAAGTCATCAGGGAGGCTGTGCAGCAGAGAGCAAGTGCTGGGGAGAAGCTCAGAGGAATCAGAATCAGGGACCTGGTAGGCAGTTTGGCCTAGAAGAGAGCTGATCAGGAGGAGAACCTGGGAAAAGCTGTATTATAGATGTTTAAAGCATAATTTCAAGGAAAAACCAGTACAGCAGAACAGCCGAGTGAAAGAACAGTTTCCCACCATCTCCCCATTCCAGGTGAGGGTCCCAGGCATTTAAGCTGGCCTGGCTTCTCCAGTGAGTCTCATGATGTCTTGGCCTCTCTCTCTTGTGAGCAGTGCAGGACTGTGACTTCATAGGGACAAATGTCTGCTTTTAGACTCTTTGATCATCACTTGCCGATTTATACATATGGGTATTTGGTTAACTTTTATTATAAAACTAATACATTTCTTATAACATTTTTGAAACATACAGAAAGATTTTAAAAAGAAAATTAAAATTTACCCATAGACCTACAAGCAGATAACCACTGTGAACATCTGGTATAGATATTTCCGGTCATGTTTGTTTATTTAAATTTAGTTTTCTTAATTTTTGGTGGTGGTGATGGTGGTGGTGGTGGTACTGGGGTTTGAATGCAGGGGCGTCTACCATGTGCTACATCCCTGGCCCTTTTTATTTCTATTTAATTAAACTTAATTTAATTTACTTATTTGGTTTTATGAGACAATGTCTTGTTTTGTAGTTCAGGCCGGCCTTGAATTTACTATGTAGCCCACGCTGACCTCAAACTCATAGTGATCCTCCTGCCTCAGCCTCTTGAATGCTGGGATTACAGGCATCTGCCACCATACCCAGCCTTTATTTTTTATTATGTGGTAGGGCTGCCCTAAAACTTGCAATCTTCCCGCCTCTGCCTCTTTAACTATCTAGAGTTATAGGTCTGCACCATGGCACTAGGTTTAAATTTAAGTAATCAAATAGTTCTATAAGGCCTGTTTGAAAAGCATGAGTCCCTTGACTGGCTCTCCTGCCATTTTCTGCTTCCCAGAGGCAAATATTCCTATTTTAGCTATTTCTTTTCATGTATACTTCATATTACTAAATTATTGTTATACTGCTGCTTTTTTTGTGCTGGGAATCAAACTTGGGACCTTGAGCTTGCCAGGCAGGTGCAGTGCCCCTGAGCCACATTCCCCAGCCATTGTGCTGCTGCTTTAATTTTTCAATTTTGGGTATTAGCCATTGTTTCTCTACTAAGGAAATGAATGCTATGCTTTCTTTTCCCACTGCCACCAAAGACCCACGCGTGTCTTGTCTTCCTGTCTGTATATGTGTTTGGGTTATTTTGCTAGTTCACGTTTCCATATGTGATCATGTAGAGGTTGATCTCAGCCAAACCATACTGAATATTCTAACCATTTTCCTTTTTTGTAACAAAACTTTGTTTTTCCCTAATTCCTTAAGTAGTAACTGTCTTAATTATTATATGTTTCCTTGGTTTTCACAGTGCTTACCCCTTCTTCAGTGTGATTCTGCCCTCTCCAATGTGGACTGGTTGCTCTCTGGGTTTCTGTCATCCCGGGACCACTCTTCCCCAGCTGTCTTTTTGTGTTTGCTCCCCATTCCCTTGGTCCCACAATTCCTTTTCTCTAGGTATAGGTTCAGTGTTTGGGGAACACATTCTTTTTTGTTTTGTTTTGTTTTGTTTTATGGGAACACATTCTTCATTTTCTCCCTGAAAAAAGAAGCATCAGAAGTAAATTTTCTTAAATCTTGTATGTCTGAAAGTATCTTTATTTTACTCTCACATTTGGGTTATCTTCAGTTTTTCACAATTAAAGCAGTGCTATAGTTAACAGGTTTTTACATTTATTCTTGCACATTTATAGATATATTTTTGAAGATAATATCCTGGAAGAAAATTGCTGGATTAAAGTATATGCACAAAAAACAAAACAGTGTATGCACAAAGTACACACTAATTTGTTCTTTAACTTATTCAGAAATTGTTTTTTTCTATATCTGTATCATTACTGGATGTTATCTGTCCGTAATTTTTGCCAACTTCATGTTGGTTTTCATTTCTTAATCACAAGTGGTGTTGAACGTCTTTTCACATGCTTACCAGCCATTATAGTTCTTCTGTGGATTACCTGGTATTGTAAACATTTCTTTCTTTCTTTCTTTCTTTTTTTTTAAACATTTCTAAGGTTCAGGGAACACAGGTATATTTTTTCTGAAAATAGTTGCTGTGATTTATATTTCTCCAAGATCGTACAAGAATGTCTTTGTCAATGGACACATATTTTGGAAAAATTTTGATTTCAAAACTTGTTCTTTCTTTCACTAAATGACTTTTTGTTAGGCAATTTTCGTTCTGCTCTCAATGATGTGATGGCTGCCAGAAAACTAAAACCCCACCACCTCAAAGCCATAGTGAGAGGTAAGTCTCACAGAGCTGCAGTAGTATAGTTATTGGCACTCACTCTACCAGAAATTGACATTTAAAGCTATGAAGTCCCCTTATTTTTGCAATCTTGATATTAAGTTCCTGTTCCTTATCAACAGCAACATGCCATTTTAAAAGAATTCCTCAGAGAATAAAATAATCTAACCCTTTATGCTGTAAGAATCTGTATAAAATTTGAAACTCCTCATTTTAAATTCATAAGGAATAAAATTAATTAAAACAAAGCAGTTCCAAAAGCCACATTCTGATTTTTTTTTCCAAAGTAGCTGATTGAAAAAATATATATAAATAAATAAATAAAGCTGGGCCAGGGATTTAGCTCAGTGGTTCCACCGCCTGTCTCGAAAGCGCAAGGACCTGAGTTTGATCCCCGGTACCAAAAAAAAAAAAAAAACAAATTAGCTGATTGAAAGGCAAGATTTTCAAATGCCATGTTAATGTTAATTAAAAGAGAAGTTATGGGACCTTTGTCATAACTCTGATGCTGTGATGTTTCCAGATTCTTTTTTCTGTTGTAGTCTGAACTTTCTGTGTCATCATAGTGGTTTTATTACTTTTATAATATTTTTTATTACTTTTAGCTCATAAGTGCTCTGCAAACTTTAATTTGTTCATCTCATATTGATATCCCCTGTATTCCCATGGAGCAGCTTAATACACTTCCCCACAGCTATGGCTCTTCAGGTGTTCGTGCCTAGAGGATGGTAAGCAGGTCCATGTCCCTCAGCTGTGGAGAAAGGAGGCACTGAATTAAGACTGGCATGTAGTGTAGTCCTGTGGAATTAACCTGGGGTTAGAAGTCTGTAATCCTCAATTCACTTGTCAGTTTTACCTTTTAATGTGACTGTGAAGGACACCTACTCTGAGTGTCAGTTTGCTCATCCCTGGAAGATGGGATTAGATTCTTTTTTTTGGTACCAGGGAACTCAGGACCTTGCACTTTCGAGGCAGGCGATGGAACCACTGAGCTAAATCCCCGGCTCAGGATTAGATTCTTTTGACATCTAAACCTTTACAACTTTACAATTCTGATCCTGAAATTCTGTGGAAAGCCTAAAGAGGCTAACTAGAGAAAAATGAACACTACAGAGTTAAAACTTTTCTCCTCTTGGTACTGGGGATCAAACCCAGGGGCACTCTATCACAGAACTACATCCTCAGCCCTTTTTATTCTTTTATTTTTGAGACAGTGTCTTGCTATGATCCCAGATTGGTCTCAAGTTTGCAATTCTCCTGCTTCAACCTCCTGAGTAGCTAGAATTACAGACATACACCACTGTACCAGTTAAAACATTTTTTTTAAATAGCAGAAGCAGCTTGAACTTATAGCCTTGAACAAAATTAGAAAAGACATAACAGTTTTTTTGTTTTTAGGTGGGGTTTTTTGTTTGTTTGTTTGTTCTTGGTACCAGATCGAACTCAGGACCTTGCGCTTGCAAGGCAGGCACAGAATCACTGAGCTAAATCCCCCAGTCCTGTTTGTTTGTCTTTTGGAGACAGAGTCTTGCTGTGTAGTTCAGACTGGCCTTGAATTCACTTTGCAGCCCAAGCTGGCCTCGACCTCCCAGCAGTCATTCTGCCTCAGCCTCCTGAGTGCTTGAACTACAGGTGTGCACCACCACGCCTGGCTAGGGAAACAACATCTTGATCCTGCTACTACCTTGATGAATGGCTGAGGCAAATTCTGCTTTCTGTCTATGTTTTAAAAATCACCTGAGTTAGGGCCAGGGATTTAGCTCAGTGGTTCTGGCGCCTTCCACGCAAGTTCAAGGTCCCAAGTTCGATCCCCGGTACCAAAAACAAAAAAACAAACAAAAAAAATCACCTGAGTTGGACTTTATTTTTTCCATTTGTAGTTGAGGAACCAGAAGCTCTGAGATTTTCAGTTCTTTGTCCAAGGTTTAGCTGATAAAAGACAGAGTCTTATTTCCACAGCCTGTGTGTCTGTGTGATTCCAGAGCCTTTGTTCTTTGCCCCTAAACCATATCCTTTCCTACTTTTAGAGTACTTAAATACCAAGGAGACTTACCGGAGTTTTGAGCTGAATGAGCATGAGGGATATTTCTGACTAGGATACAGAAAATATTCTTGCTTCTCTGCGGACTGAAGTCCAAGGGCTCAGCCTCTGTTTTCCTTTCAGGAGCTTGGCTGGTGGATGGTGGGTGGGCTGGCACATGTGTATTGTTCCTAGACCCTAAGGGCTGTGGTTTCTCTAGGTGCCCTGTGCCATCTAGAACTGAAACACTTTGCTGAGGCTGTGAGCTGGTGTGACGAGGGGCTGCTGATAGATGCCAAGGAAAAGAAGCTTCTGGAAGTGAGGTCTAAAGCAGACAAGCTGAAGGTTGGTGACATCGGCAGACAATTGGCATTTTCTAATTAGCACTAATTAGCATTCATCAGATTATTTCTCTCAGGTTACTGTAAAGTTTTTCCTCTTTAAAGACGAAATCTAGGCACTACGGATGTTAACTCAAGTGATAGGCCCTAGGTTGATCCACGCCTCCTGGGGAAAAAAAGACCAAACCAAAACCAGTTCCTACCCTTGGAACTCTGTGGAGGGCACAAACAAGACAGTAGAGGCAAGCAAGAATATAACAGTGTATGGCGGTAGTTTACTGCAGTGGCATCTAACATTGCCCTGCCAAGAGCAGGCAGTAGATGGAGATAGCATAGAAGGTTTGGAGAGAGAAGTGATGCCTCAGCCTAATGTCAAAGACTGAGCAGAGGTTTACTGAACTGAATGATGCTGGGGAGAACACTGCAGACAGGAGCCTTTGGAGGATAAGGGTTAAATGGTTGTGTGTGTGTGTGTGTCTGTCTGTCTGTCTGTCTGTCTGTCTTCTTAGTACATTTCCTAACATAGAGTTAGGACTCTGTAGAAAGTGGCTATTAGGATTTGAATAAATCCTAATACATGCTGCCTGCCTTTCAAGCGCAAGGACCTGAGTTTGATTCCCGGTACCCAAAAAAACCCCCCAAAATTAAATAAATAAATAGGAACAACTAAGAGTGCTGTAGTCTATCTGTGCACTACTTAAAGCTCTTAAAAGAGAGAAGGGGAGCCAGGTGTGGTGGCGCATGCCTGTAATCCCAGTGCTCAGGAGGCAGAGGCAGAAGAATTGCTGCAAGTGTGAGGTCAGCCTGGGCTACATAGTGAGTTCAAGGCCAGCCTGAATTACAGAGTGAGACCTTGTCTCAAAAAAAAGAGAGAGAGAGAGAGTGAAAGAGAAAAATCAGTTAAACATTTAAACAAAACCTTACATTTCTACAATGATGTGCAACTCCCATAAGTAGACACCTATAAATTGCTGATGAAATGCCATATACCTGGCATATAACAGCTTAAAATGATGATTAAAAACAGTAATAATGATTAAATAACATTAATACCAAAAAATCATACCCAACATTGAGAAAGTACTTACTGTGTATGCGTTCCAGGCACTGGTTTAACATTTTCACTTACATTAAGCCATCTGAACCCTAAATCAGCCCTGATTTACTAGAGAGGTAGCTAATGTGCAGGAAGACAAGAGGTTGCGCCACTTACACAGCTCTGGTGAAGCAGGACTTCAAGTTCACGCCAGATACCAGTCTTAGCATCTGTGCACGCGACCTCACATGTCTGTTCAGTGCCAAGCTAGAAGCAAACTTCACTCTTTTAATTCCCAGTTTCCACCTCTTCTCACTGCTGAGCCAATGGAATGGAAAGTTTCACTGCACTCCCTTGCTGCCTTCAGCTCCCCTAAATAGGAAGTTAGAAGTCATTGTGGTACTATGAAATGGCAGAAAAGGTAGATATCTATGGATCCTTGTGGCTCAGTAACAGAAATTTTAAGCCTAGGTAATTGGGTGTGAGTCAGAATTTCTGAAAGGGGTATATATAGGAGCAAAGTCAGGAGGGCTGCTGTGGAAGGCTGTCACCAAAACTGTCCACAGAAAAACCCTCAGTGGGCCTAAATGAAGGCATTTTGTTCCTGTAGCACAGGCACAATTAAAGGGAGATTTCGGGGCCCAAAGCCTGGCATCGCTTGCTAAATAGCAGTATTCCCCTGTATCTGAGTACACACTGATGCTAGGTTCCGTTCTGATTGGCATATGAAGCAGTAGATCTCATTTGGCTACATAATACCAAAGTAGACATGAAGGGGATGAATTATTACCAGAGATAAAATGAGTCATTTTTTAAATGATGAAAGAATCACTTTATAAGAATATTTAGTGATTCTTAATATATAAGCACCTAATAACAGCTTCAAAATATGTGAAGTAAAAATTGACAACTCAAGGAAGCACTAAGTCCACAAATGGGTGTCATGGGAGACGTGACAATATCTCTCCCACAGGGTGCACTGAACAAGCAGATAAGAAATAGAGGGTGATGTCAGTGGAAATGGTGTGCTAAAGACCTAGAAAAAACTTTCCTCCTGGGCCGGGGATTTAGCTCAGTGGTTCCGCCGCCTGCCTTGCAAGCGGAAGGACCCGAGTTCGATCCCCGGTACCAAAAAAAAAAAAAGAATAAAACTTTCCTCCATAAAATGCATGAGATAACTTGCAAAAATTGTCAGTTAACTTTTCTAAAACTCTAAAAATGAACTAGAGACTTGCAGCAGTCTAGGGAGTGTTTATTTAAGAAAAATGGCCAAGCCTTGTAAGAACAGAAAATTTGTGGCACTTTAATTTGTCTTTCCTAGGTTCCCTTCCACAGTTCCTCAGTACCCTTGAAAGTCAGCAGCCCAGAGTCATGGTGAAAACACGGGGTCTGGCAGCCCCCAGAGTAGGTAGAATAGGGCTGAAGCCCTCTCAGAGCCCCATTGCCAGGGAACTGTTTTTAACCTGTCCACCTAGTGGGTCCTGGCAGACCCACTCACAGCTCTTTTATATGACCTGTCTTGGAGCTCACTCAATATGCAAAGCCATTTCACATGTAGGTGCCGGGGTCGGGGGGAGTGTAAAAAACCATTAAAAGCAATTGTTTAAGATTCCAGCTACCTGAGGCAGTAGATGGCACTGGGACAAACAATAGGCTTATAAAAAGCTGAGGATTTTCTCAGAAAACATGCAGACTTGTGAAATTCCATGAAATGCACCAGCATAGGCATAGTGGTGTTCTAGAAGTGGAGCAGAGAAGGGACAAAAGAATGATTTGAAGAAGCTGGGTGTGATGGTGAATGCCTGTAATCCCAGCACTCGGGAGACTAAGGCAGGAGAATCACTGGGAGTCCTAGGTCAGCCTGGGCTACATAGTGAGTTCAAGACGTGCCTAAACTACAGAGCAAGACCCTGTCTCAAAAAACAAACAAAAAAAGATTTGAAGAGTAATGTTCAAAAACTTCTTAAATTTATTGAAAAATGTTATCTATTTAGATATAGCTATATCTGATTATATTTATGTATATATGTATGTATATATCTCAAAGAAGTTTAAAACTAAAAGTAGAGCCAAATGTGGTGGCACACACCTGTAATCCCAGCACTCAGGAGGCTGAGGCAGGAAGATCACCATGAGTTTGAGGCAGCCTGGGCTACATAGTGAGTTTAAGGCCAGCCTGAGTACATAGCAAGATCCCATCTTAAAATCAAACAAAACTACAAGTAGGGTAAACTTAACAGCAGTTGACACCAAGACACATCATTATCAAACTTGAAAGACAAAGAAGAGAACCTTAAAAGAGAGAAATGACTTTTCTTGTATAAATGAACCTCAGAATTAATGGCTGATTTTTTTTTTTTTTTTTTTGGTACTGGGGATTGAACTCTGGTCCTTGCGCCTGCATAGCAGACGACGAAACCAGTGAGCTAAATCCCCGGGCCAACAACTGATTTTTTATCAGAAAACATGAAGGCCAGAAGGCAGTGGGATGACATATTCAAAGTGCTGGAAGAAAACTTGCCAACCAAGAATTTTATATCCAAAAATTTATCCAACTGACTTTTTATCAGAAAACATGAAGGGCTGAAGGCAGAGGGATGACATACTCAAAGTGCTGGAAGAAAACTTTTCAACCAAGAATTTTATATCCAAAAATTTATCCTTCAGGGCTGGAGATTTTGCTTAGTGGTGCTGCTGCCTACCTCGAAAGCACAAGGTCCCGAGTTTGATCCCTGGTACCAAAAGAAACAAAAATTTATCCTTCAGAACTGAAAGAAAAGAAATAAAACTAGCTCTGCTGCAGATTTTATGGGCTCATGTATAGAAAATCCAAAGGGATCCACTAAAACTTTCTTGGAATTAATAGGTTGAGCAAGCTTACAGGATGTAACATCAGCTGGGCAAGTGGCACACGTCTGTAATCCCAGCACTTGGAAGGCTGAGGCAGGAGGATTGCCATGAGTTCGAGGCCAGCCTGAACTAATAGCAAGACCCTGTCTCAAAAAACTAAACAAAAACCAAAAAAACTAACAAACAGAACCAGATAATATGCAACAGAGACCAGACTGGTCTGCAAAACCTAAAGTATTTACTGTCTTGCCCTTTCCAGAAAATGTTTGCTGACTCCTGTTAATCCACATCCCAAGGGCAGAAGCAGGACAACTAGCGCTGGGTAGATTAGCAGGAGAAGGAAGTCTGAGTTACATTCCTGCCAGATCAAATAGAAGGGTGGTGTTTTTCTCTTGTGGATTATAATAGTGCAGCCTCTGATAAGTTCCTTCCATGAGTTTTTCCAGCGTGTTTTCCTGTGCCCCATCCACACTGGGGAAGGTGAAATTCCCCACAGGCTACTTGTCTGTCCTGGCATCAGTCCTTGTATGGAGAGTGCCTGTTTTCCTTCCCTGCTGGCATCTCCCTTGTCTAAGCCAGTGGTGGCGAACCTATGGCACACGTACTGCAGTGGGCTGTTTGTATCACTGAAGGCTCTGAAAGGTTCACCATCACTGGTCTAGATGCACCTTCTCAGGAGGCAGAATCCATGCCCCTCTGTGTGTTTCACAGCTCTGTTCACACCGCCAGAGTAACATAATGCGCCTGTTACACTTGGCTGTTCCCTTGCCCTTGCTTCTCAGTGAGCTCCTTGGGTACAGGAAGTGGATTGTAAACTTCTGCTGACACTGGGTCTGATGGCTCAGTGTGTGCTTTGTGCACGTTCAGTGACACAGGAGCACAGGTTGGGTAGAGAGCAGAGACTGTCATTTAGAGAGGGTGAGAGAAGGCTGGGGTAGAAGAAGAGCAGGTTCCCTGGAGCTGATACATCTGAATTTCATTTCTAGCGAACTGAACAGAGAGATGTGAGGAAAGCAAAGCTGAAAGAAAAGAAAGAGCAAAATCAGAACGAGGCTTTGCTCCAGGCCGTCAAGGTGAGTTCTCAAATCCTGTGACATCCACTAGTCTTGTGATGCCTGCTGCAAACCTTTCTTGGGATGCTTTCCCTGAATGTTCACTTTCTTTCTGCATCAGAGGGGCAGTGTGACAGCGGAGCCTGGGCTCTGGAGTCAGTTGCCCACTGTGCGCGCTGTCCCAGGGACACACAGACTGCTTGCCTGGGCTCAGCACTCTCATTCAGTCTGCACAGCACTATCCGAGGCGGGCTTGCTGCTGTTTTTCTAGCTGAGAAAGTCGTCCCAGAGAGGTGAAGGAACCTCACACAGTCACTGGCTGTCAGAGCCAGGGCCTTGCTCTTCACCACTGCATTATACTCATCCTGGGAAAATGTGAACCTTTCAGGTGTCGCTTCTCTAACTGTAACAGCAATAATAACAAAAATCCTTCTTTCCCTTCCCTGTGTTTCTTGCATTTTGAAGTAAATACAGTCTGACCCAAATCTGGCTTTACTTTGTTTGAAGTTCATCTTCCCAAATAGATAATACCTGTTGAGTGGCTGTGGAGCAGGTTTTGGTTTCATTCTTTGTTCAGTTACGTTATGCACCTACTTAAGTTCCTTGTTGACTTTGAGAACTTAGCACTACTAAAATGCAACCCACTTGGCATCCCAGCAAGCAATCCATTACTAGGTTTTAACAAATTGGATAGAATACTCCACATTTCCATTGACTCCTCAGTCACAGCGAGGGGCTTTATTTCCTTAAATGTAGCATATTGGAGCCATACTTCGTGTTACATTCCTGTAATCCCAGCACTTAGGGAAGCTGAGGCAGGAAGACTGTAAATTCAAGTCCTGTCTGGGCAACTTAATGAGATCCCGTCTCAAAAAAATAAATAAAGAGAGCTGGGGATATAGCTCAGCAGTAGAGCTCCCCTGAGTTCAATCTCCAGTACAGAGAGAGAGAGAGAGAGAGAGAGAATACTGGAATGCCTAAGGCATTGGCATGCAGACTTTTTTGTTCTTGTTCTGTTCTCTCCTTTAGTCCAGCCCTGCATCCTGGGCTTCAGTGTCCATAAGAAACTCTCAGCAGTACCTGAAGCTCTTTTTTTTTTTTTTTTTTTGAGACAGGGTCTCACTATGCAGTTTAGGCTGGCCTTGAACTCTTGGTGATCCTCTTGCCTCAGCCTCCTGAGTGCTGGGGTTACAGGTATGTGCCACCACGCCTAGCTACAAAGCTCTATTTTACTGATGGTTTAAGGGGAAGGTCAGTAACTGCAGCCTTTGAAACAGCCATGCCTGTGTATATATTATCTATGCCCATGACTTCCCTAGAGCTAACCTAGGAACTTCAGCACGCAGCCATAAGATGTGATCTCCTATTCAGACCCTTGACTGACCCTCATTTCTGTGAGACATATCCTGTGTCCTCATCAAACTGAAACATTTGTTACTTGTATACTGGCTGCACTCTTCATCTCTTCTGTGCCCTGGCCTATGTGGCCTTTCTTAGTCATTACCGAAGGCCTAGCATTTCCCAGTAACCCCCGGCCCCAGGCTGAATTGATCCTTGTCTGCAGTTCCACAGCTCCATGTCATAACCTCCAGCACTGTCTCCCTCTAGACCAGAAATGGAGGCTTGAGGACAGGGAACCCTAGCTAGGTCCTCTGACACAGGAGATGCCTAGGGAAGACAAGTTAGACAAGGGGTGCCTCCTCCACGCCAAGCCTCAGGGGTACTGAAGAGGAACACCATGGAGCTGGCCCTCAGGGAGCTCACGTTGTTAGGGTTTCCTTATTTCAGTGAAGTGGGTTGTGTCCCCCCACACAGTAAGGTTTCTGGCGTCTGTCTGTTTGTGTCTGACCCAGGCTAGGAATATCAGGCTCATGTCTGAAGCTCCTGGTGAGGATGGAGAAGCAGCCTCAGAAGCTCTGGGCGAGGTGTTCCTGGATGGACTCAGCTCTGAGAACCCCTATGGCGCCAGGCTGAGTCTGGATGACCAGGGCAGGCTGAGCTGGCCTGCGCTGTTCCTGTACCCGGAATACGCCCAGTCGGACTTCATCTCTGCTTTTCACGAGGACTCCAGGTACTTCCTTGTCCAGCAGCCCCTGCTCTTCCTTGTACTCTCCCTGCTGCCTTGACACAGTGGGTAGGGAGATTTTTGGTTGAGGAGGGAAGAGAATAGAATAGAGGGTTTCAAACGGTCTGGTTTGATATGGCCTTGTTATGCCGTAGCTGATTGAACCTTTATTAAGTAGGTTTGCAACGACAAATACACGTTTCACCTCCACACTGCCTGGGCTAGTAACAGTATAGTGGCTGCCACAGAGTGGCCTGGATTAATGCTTAATGTAGCTAAATGTAAGAAATGCTTTTAACTGTTTAAAAAAATTATGTCATAGGGACAAATGATACACAGACACGTTTTGGGCAGTGCTGTCAAAATGGACTCGACCTTTCTATCTCTGGGAATTGTGTCCAGGGATTGGTGTGGGAAAGGAGATCATGAATTATTGATACCCGTGGTTCATATTATGTCCTTAGGTTTATTGATCATCTAATGGTGATGTTTGGTGAAACGCCATCTTGGGACTCAGAGCAAAAATACTGCCCTGATAATCTGGAGGTAAGAGAAGTTTTATTTCATTCATCTATGAAACTTTTTAAAGGGAGGCAGCTGAGGCATAGAGATAAATTTTTTTTTAAATTATGGTAAAATACATGTAATATTTACAATTTTAGGTACATAGTTCAGTGGCATTAACATTGTTTTACAACCATCAGCATCATCCCTCTCCATAAATTCCCATCATGCCAACCTGAACAGTAACAGCACATCCCTCTCCCATCAGTCCCTGGCAAGCACTATTCTGCTTCCTGTCTCTGTGGATGTGGCTGCTCTGGATACCACCTAAAAGTGGAATCATACAATATTTGTCCTTTTGTGGCTGACTTGCGTCACTTAGCATAGTATCTTCTGGTTCATCCGTGTTTTGTTTTTTTTTGGTACCGGGGATCGAACTCAGGACCTTGCACTTGCTCAGCAGGCTCCGGAACCACTGAGCTAAATCCCCGGCCCCTCATCTGTGTTGTAATATGTGTCATATTGTAGCATGTGTCAACCTTCCTTTTTTATTCTTTTTTGGTACTGGGGGTTGAACCCAGGGCCTTTGCACTAAGCTATATCTCAGTCCTTTTCTTATTTTTTTATTCTGAGACAGGTCTTGCTAAGTCTCTAAGTTGCCCAGTCTAGGCTCAAACATTCGATCCTCCTGCCTCAGCTTCCCAGAGTGCTGGGACTATGAGCATGTACCTAGCCTGTGTTTTTAAAGCTGAATAATATTTATTGCACTGTTGGGATTTTTTACAACGTAATCACGGTGTACAGTATGAAGAATTTATCTTCAGCTGGGCATGGTATTGCATGTTTGTAACCCTAACTACTTGGGAAGCTAAGGCAGCAGGATCACAAGTTTGAGGCTAAGTTTGGGCAACTTAGGAAGATCCTGTCCTAAAATTAAAAATAAAAAGGGCTGGGGTGTAGCTAGTGGTAGAATACTCCTGGGTTCAGTCTTCTGTACTGAAAACAGAAACCAATCTTCTTCTAATCATCTGAGAGTAAGATGCCAAGTAATGTCTCAGAACTCTGAATACTTTAGTCTGTGTTTCCTACAAACGAGGATATTTTTCTTCATAATCCCAAAAGAGCCATCAAAATTGGGAAATTAACAGTGGCACACTACTGTTCTGTAGTTCTGTAGCTTCATTAACATTTCCCAGATTGTCCCAGCAATTATTTTTTTGTTTTTGTTTTTTAAGGGAAGACAGGGTCTTGCTATGCTGTCCAGGCTGTCCTCGAACTAGCAACTCTCCTGCTTTAGCCTCCAGAGTGCTGGGATTATAGACGTGCACTACCACACCTGGCTTTTTTGTTTGGTTTTGCTTTTGTTTTGTCCCAGGAATCTTCTTCCCAGCCCTTGGCTCCTTTCCAGAAGCACACTGTGTTCAGTGAACATGTCCAGTAGTTTCTCTCGACACAGCACTGTTTCTCGGAATTTCCTCCGCTTTTTTCATCTTGCCCCGCTCATTACAGACCGGTGTGTGGAGTGCCTGTCTGTGGTGTCCCACGTTTCCTGTGACCACATTTGGGGACCCATATTTGGCTAGGATGTCCCAGAATGCTGCGGTGTTCTCATTGCGTCCTGTGGGTGCACTGAGACGTCTGCTCTGATCACCTGACTGAGGAGTCTGCCAGGCTGCTCTACTGTACAGTTATTGCTCTCCTTTATAATTAATGAGTATTTTACAGACAGGTACTTTGAAATGACAGAAATATTCCATTGCTCTTCAGACCTTCAACATTTTTATCAGCAGATTTATGATTTCCTCTTGTATTCAGTGAGTCTCAATCTGCCACGATGGTTGTTTACTTTGTGGGTTTTTCTTGCAGTACTAGAGATGGACCCCATGGCCTTTTGCATGCTAGGCAAACATTCTGCCCCTGAGCTGTACCCCCAGTTCCCTATGATGGTTTATTTTATGGTCAGATTGTCCTGGAGTTGGCCAGTGGGAAACCCTTTAAATTTGTTTCTATGTCCTTTTGATTTATTGCCATTTTAAAAGCACTTGCTTTCTGGCACAAGATGTGTCAGGTTCAAATGGTGCTTTCCTCGTCCTGACTCACCCATTTTTTTTTCCCAAGGAGCCCTTTCTAGTGGAGAATGGTATTGGGAAGGCAAAATCCCTGTGCAGCAGATGTGCTGTCATATAGGGGAAAGGGAATCAGTGCTTTGGTCCTTCTCAGGGCCTCACAGCCAGGGAGGTGTGTGTGCGTGTGTGTGTGTGTGTGTGTGTGACCTTACTTATCCTCTGCAGAGTCTGATAGCTTGCATTGCTCAACCACCCCATGTGAACGTCTTCCTTATCCTGCTTGGGCTCGAATCCCACACAACAGGCCATCCCCAGCCATGACTGGTTCCCCTCCTTGCCCCACCTGGGTCCTGATACCCCATTTCAACTGCCCCACCCATGGACACTCTGCTTGGCTAGCTTGGGCTCCAACATGCCACCACCAACAGCTGTCTCAAAGGGAAGCCCTTCTCATCCTGCTTAACCTGCCAGCTCCTGGCATGGATGCCTCCTCCCCAATCCAGCTCTGACACCCTCACCCCTGGCAGCCTTCCAGTACACACATCCTCCTCTCCCTGCCTGGGCTCATGCCTGCATCAACTTCCCTCTCACCTGCTTAGGCTCTTCCTTTGCTCTGGGATACTACCCCACCCCCACCCCCATCTGATAGCTCTAGGATTAAATTGTTAGAGAGGAGGAGGCTACATGGACTTGGGCCCAACTCTTAGATTCTGTTTACTAGCTGTGACGTTGACAAAATACAACCTCTGCACCTTGTTTCTGTCTTTGGAGAATGGAGCTGACCATAACCTTTCCTGTAGTGTTATAGGGAGGACTAAATGCAAAGCGCACAGCCCTTAGCTTATACAGCAGGTATTCATCTAGTAATAGGTGCTGCCTCTTAATCCTTCCTCAACATGCTTGGTAAGCTGTGAAGCACTTTATCTGCCTCTGATTTTTGTTTCTGATTATCTTATAGGTCTACTTTGAGGACGAGGACAAGACAGAATTATACCAGGTGCCTCCCAAGAGCACCCTGCTGCAGGTGCTGCAGCACCCCAGGTGAGCAGTTCGTGGGGCCGAGCAGGCACCTTCCCTGGAGCCCAGCCAGCTTCTCCTTCCTCTGCTCGGTGCTCACCTCGTACTCCCCTCCTATCTGCGCTGTGCAGTGCGTATGAGATGGCAGCCCCGGGGACAGGCCCGGACTGCTGGGCCAAGCCAGTGGCTAGGCAGGTTTGTGGTGTGACGACAGCCTGTGGCGCTGCAGCCATGCCCCTCCCAGACTGGAGGAGATGACAGGGCTGGTCTCAGGAGGAAAGAGCTGTATGGCTTTTGTACCTGGGACGGCACTGCTTTTCCCAGCTGTATCTGTGTCCTCAGATGTTATTAGGTGGAAAGGGCACTGACTCTTCATTCACCGCCGTGTACCCCTGAGCACACTGTGCCTTTGTGGGGCTCTTCCTTCATCTCTAGCACAGGGATAATACCTGCCTACATTTCTCAGCACGTGAGAATCAATGAGTGTGCAGGAGTCCAAGTGTCCTGTAAACTGTACCCAGCAGTCCGGCTGCAGGAGGGCATCAGCAGCCATAGCAAGTGAGATGTGGCAGTTGTCTGTCTCAGCAGCTTCTGTAAGAGCATGGCCTCTGTGGATTAACACATCAAGACGGCTTTTCTTTGACCTTGAGCAAAGCAAAGAAGAGAAAGCTAAGTGCTTTTTGCACTGGAGGAAAGGGTGGGTAGGTATGGTAGGTAGGAAATGAGGCTGGAGAGCTAAGTTAGGACTGGCATAAAGCTTAAACTTGAATGCCCTGCTAAGGAGCATAAACATCCTGAGGGTGGTATATGAAGTCACAGAGAACATTTATTTAGGTCAGATCTGAAGTGTCCTATTTGATGGGGAGCCTGAAGTAGGAGGGGTGGACTGGAGAGGGCCGGCATAGCCTGGGTGGAGCTGGTGACGTGCTGACAGGCTTGGTGGTCCTGCTGGTCTTGGATGCTTCTGCCTTTGTCCTAGGAGGCAGGTGGGGAAGGTTCTCCAGATCTGATCAGTGCTTCTCTTAGTGGTATTTTTCCCTGGTCCCCAGTCTCCCTTTTCCTAGTTTATGGACAAATTTTCCTGTTCATTTTCTCCACTGTCAGCAAATTGCCTAGAATTCTTTAAAGGCCTGAGGTCTACGCTACCCTGTCTCCAAAAAATAAAGGAGAAATCTAAACAGAAAACAGACTAATCCATGGAGGAAAACTAATTTCATACCCTCAGAAAATGTAAATGCTATTGGAAGTGATTGCTTTTTAAATTACTGCTATAGCAAGAGATTATCCAGGACCGGTTTTGGGCAATTCCACCTTGAGCCAAGCATAGGCCCCTCTGTCCAGAACCAGGCCGGTGAGTAATGCCACACCCTGGACCTGGAAGACCAAGGCTGATCTCCAACCTGCCTCACTGTCTTTGCCTTATGCCCAGCAATGGCAAGTGCTATGGTTACCTGGACCTCCTGGCTTTTGCTGACCCCATTCCCCAAATTAAAGTCAAGTTCAGACATGGCATATTCCAGAAAGTCTTTCCCAATTCCTCCTGGAGAGGGAGCTGTGGCCTCGTGGGCTAAGGCTTCACAGATGCTTTTGCAGTTGTGCCTTGCTGTCTGTTTGTTATCTTCTTCCCCGGGACTGAGCTTGAGAGCAAGAACATGATTTCTGTGTGTTTGCTTTTAAATCTCTGTGATTTCAGCACAGGGCCTGGTTCATCCTGGTCACTTACTATCAAGGGGAAGCATGTTTTGTAGTTTCATGTCCTGTTAGCTACACATGTTCCTGATGCTGGAGGACTGGCCCAAAGGTCCTAGACAGGTTGGAAGAGGAGAATGTCATGCTAATTTGCCAGTAAATTGCTAGAGTTCCATTTTAATGTTCACGCATGTCCAGAGTTTCACCTTGAATGTTTTGGGGACAGTCCGTGGATGATTAAGATTATAATCCAGTTAACTCCATCTCTTTGTCTTTTGTGTTCACTACAGGTACTTTGTAAAAGCCCTGACCCCAGCATTTCTGGTCTGTGTAGGGTCCTCTCCTTTTTGCAAGAATTATCTCCAAGGGAGAAAGGTGCACCGGGTAAAGTGACAGCCAGGCTGTGTGAGTCAGGTCCCCTGCCTCACCTTCCTCACCACCTTGGAACAGCTGGAGCTGCTCCTAGAATCCAGCACTTTTGTTCTGTCACTCTGGGGATATTTTCTCCTAGCCTTGAGCAGGGGAAGGAGCTGCTGACTTCCCTGATCTGTGGCTTCTGGGCCATCACTCTCCAGTGGGTACCCGGCTCTGTGCCTGGGCTGTGCTGTCCTGGCAGTCTGTCTCTGAAGGGACCACCTGCTACGTCTACCACAGCAACTGTCTGAGTGACTCACTGTCACTGGCCTGTGACAGGTGCCACGAGAAGCCTTGGAGAAGATGCCCCTCCCACACAGTAAAACCGACTCTATGAGGGATTCTAAGGCCTGAAGGCTCAGCGAACCTGGCTGCTGGTTATTTCACCATCGTGGAGGGGAGTTCTAAAGGGAGGCTGTGTGCTGTGGGGTGAATGGAGCGGGAAAGCCACAGCCTGTTACTGCGTACTCCTCTAAAGCTGCGAGTTTCCTTCATCTTTGCAGTGTGAGAACTGTGACAGGCAGTGACCTCCAAGTTCCTTTACAGTTTTCACATTTCAGGATTCGGAGACAGGGTCTCACAGTGTTGCTAGGCTGGTCTCAAACTCCTGGGGTCAAGGGATTATTTTGCCTCGGCCTCCTAAGTCCTGGGACTACAGGTGCACACTCCTGTAACCTGGCTAGGATTTTATGCCTTTTAAACTGGAAAATCTTCCTGGGCATGGTGGTGCATGCCTTTAATCCCAGCACTCGGGAGGCTGAGGTAGGAGAATCACTGTGAGTCAAGGCCTGCCTGGAATACACAGCAGGACTCTGTCTCAAAAAACCAAAAAAACCCCAAAAACCCATTAAACTGGAAAATCTTTTTGCATGTCAAGTCACTGTCATAGGATATATTTTTGTCCCTAGTTCTGAGAGGATCTTGGATACTTTTACCTGTAGCTGTACATCTTCCTTCCGTACCTGCTTGGTTCCCCAGGAAGTGCTTCCTTCCTGCTCCCCTGCAGAGGGACCTGAGCACTGTCCAGAAGCACGGAGAGTGGTGTGTTCTCTACTGTGAGATTCCCATCTCCCACACAAGGGCAGTTCCTTCAGCCCAAGCGCCAGTGTGGAGACACGTAGAGCAAAGCTGGAGCAGCTGGCCTGCAGCACCTCACTGTAACAAGAATGGGAAATGGATGTTGTGATGAGCACTGAGATTTGGGGGTTGTTACTATAGCAAACCCGACCAACACTCATTAAGCTGAAACCAGCAGTGCATGTGGCCGCTGCAAACACTGAATTCTGGCACTGTGCTAACTGCAGTACTGGATTCTCTTATTTAAAGCTGATAGCCACTCTCAAGGGGCTGTGATCCATTTTCTCAGTTTTCATAGTCACAGCATTAGTGAGTGTAGGAGCCAGGCTCAGCCCATGAGCCCCACTCCAGGGCCTGCCTTTGTCCTCCCTGCTTGCCTTGCTTCCTCTGCAGGCAGTTACCTTGCTCCTATCCCGGCAGCTTGAGGCCGACATGCCCCAGGCAGCCTCTGCCTGCACGGTCCTGCTGCTGCCTGCGTGTAAGAAATCTGACCCTGGGCTGGGAACTGCCCCAGTGAAGAGAATGCAGCCTGAGCCCTCAGTGACTGCCTTTGCCTTGGTGGCCTTCTTGGACACCTTCATCACCTCTGCAGCCTCTGGAGCCCAGCCATCCTGGACAGTCTAGCCATGGGGCAGGGGGTGCATTGACTAAGGGTCTTTCCCCAGGAGCTGCGCTGCCTACATTTCAGTTCTGGCCCCACAGCACACTAGCTGCAGGCCTTGGGCCCTTTGCTTAGGCTCATTGAGGCCAATGTCCTTATCTGCAACCTGAGCAAGACAGTAGTGCCTACCTGCTGCAGGCGCTGTGAGGATTAAGTAATTCATCTTTGTGAGGCACATGAACAGAGCTTACCCCACAGCAAGTGCTTCCTCTGTGACTCATTACTCCCCAAGCTTACCATGCACACCTAGCTTTGGGCCTGTGCATTGTCCCCTCTGCCTGGGCCACTCTTTCTCCCACTTGCTCCCCCTTTCCTCCCCAACCTTTCCTCCCATCACTAATGCCCAGTCTGCAACCAGGTCCTGTTGCCTTCTCCAGGAAGCCTTCCTTGGCTCCTTACCTGTGTGTCCTCAGGGTCCTGCACTGTCCCAACTCATGCCACACTGTATTGGAGCTGTTTACTTGATGGTTCCCCCGACTTCTTGTAGACTGAGTCAAGGACACTGAGCCGAGTGCTCTTGTACTGTCAGAGCCTAGCACTGCATCTGCACAGCACAAGTGCAAATTGGTCTCTGGTCTTGCTAATACAGTGACACAGAGATCTGTTTATCACATGGCTGGAAGTGACCCTAACAGGAAAACATAAATTCTTGTAGCGTATGAATCCGAAAACAGGAGGTTCAAAGATAATACAGGTGATATAGTGAACATTTTTTCATACTGGCTTGGCACATAACTCCCGAGAGATGGCCTAGAGAAAGAAATGAATAATTCTAAATAGACTACCAGTGATGGCGAGCCTTTTAGAGACAAGCGCCCAAACTGCAACCCAAAACCCATTTATCACAAAGTGCCAACACTGGAATTAAGCCTGAATACTGAGGTTTTAGTTTAAAAAAAACCAAACATACATTCATATCTTTTGTCTTAGAAGAAAAACACAACATGAATGCCATAGGTTTGCCACCACTGGACTAGGTAAAATGGGAGGAGTTGGAGGTAGGGCATGGTGGGAGGCCCTCGAAGGTGAGCAACCTTGAAAACACACATTCCTGGGGCAGCACAAGCTGACGTGGCTCAGGATCAACAGTGGGTGCCTCTGAGCAGCTTGCTAGGCTTTATGTGGATGGATATATCCCCCTGGTCAGCTCTAGGGGGCAGGCAGCGGCCCTTTTACTGGTAGGAAATCTGGCAAGGAGAGGTTAAGCAACCAAAGTCAGCTAGCTAGTAAAAAGAGCAAGACGTGAATTCAGGACTTAGCCCTTCAGGAGATACCGCCTATGAGTATGCAATACACCTAGCTGCGCTCTTGCTCACTCCAAGCCTAAAGTCTTGGCACTCACTGTATCATACAATGTCTCTAACCTGTCTAGAAGAACCACTGTCTGCAGAGATCCCTGTGTGATCCAACAGCTAAATCCCCATAACACCTGATATGCCATCAATGGGCTGGCTTACCTTCAGCCCATGAGCTTTCTGGGGAAGCCCCTGCTACTACAAAAAAGCGGTCCTCAGTTACTATTACCCAGGGCATGCCTCCTGCTCCCTCTCCTGGCCCTAAACAGTTTAAATTAGCCAAGGGCAATTAAACTCAACCATGGGAACTCATTAACAGCCTGGAGAGAGGCTGGCTTGGCAAGAGTGGATGTGTCAGGATGCTGAATGAACACAGGCAGACTACTTGTGCCAGCCCTTTCTGCAGACTCACAATGCACCACTCACCTGCCAACTATGTGCAAAATACCACTTAATAAAGGGCAGCTGTTACTCACCAACCATCTCTCATGTGCCAGGCACCACTGTCCTGTTTTATAGGCAAGAAAGCTGAAGTACAGAGGGAGGAAGTGTCTTGCATAGTTACATAGCTGTTAAGTGGCCCAGGCAGTCTGATTCTGACCTCCAGAATGGGGCCTTACACTATGATGTACATCATTGTTTTACATTAAGGGAAATATTGATGTTTTTCAAATGTTACTGAAGTTTGCAATAACATCAGAAAATTATTTTCCTATCCTCTTTTTTTCCCCCCAGTACTGGGGATTGAACTCAGGACCTCCCTTTCGAGGCAGGCATGGTGCCACTGAGCTAAATCCCCAGGCCCCTATCCTTTTCCTAACTTTAAAACAAAGCCTTTGATACTCTTGGATGCCTAACAATCCAAGGCATCTCAATATAGAAATTGAAGTAGGGAACTCTGAAGTCTTGGCATTCAGTTAAAGAAACAATCATTTCAACACATTTCTGCAAAGTTCCTTTATTGATAGCCCAGCAGGTGTTTCTTCCATTAAAACACAGAATATTAATGGAGCCCTTGATTTACATTCTCAGCTTGGTTTACATGATGGGTTTGTTATGCACCAACCTTTGTCCCAAGTATTAATTCTGCTCCTTCCCAGCCAGTTGCCTACATCTCCCCAAGGAATGAGCAATGATAATACGGCCTGTACCTGTTATTTTGCCAGCATCCCCATTTCATCAATTTATGGCATGAGGTAAAATCAGCAAGTTCAGAAATGAGAAAGTAAGGTACATTGAATATTTCTCTTTCCTCTGAGATGAATCCATTCTGCAGGTGTTACCCAATTCTTGTTCATGGTTTTCCCAGGAAGGCTATAAAGCATCCAATCAAGAAAACAAGATCCAGGTCTTGAGATAACAAAGTTAACAGCAATGCCTGAGTTCCTGGAGGGAAGTGCAAATGGAGGGTCAAGCATGTCACATAAGTGAACTCTGTCAGCCCAAAGCACCCTACAAGGTGGGCACTATTAGCCCAGGCATTTACCAGGGAAGAATCTGAGATGAGCAGAGGGCAAGCAATCTGTCTCAGGTCATGTCCCCAGTAAATGGTGAATCTAGGATTGTCTCTTCAAGGCTCTGAGCTTACCCCCAAATTACACTGCTGCTGGCTACTTGAAGAAACCCTGGCTTTGTGATCAGGATGCCAAGGTTTCATTCAGCTTGACCTTGGGTGAATCCCTGTTCTCCTGTGTTGTCTCCTGTTATAAAATTAAGAGGGACAGGTACCAATTTCAGCAGCTTCTGGGGTGCTGGCAACTTGAAGGCTGCACCAGCCCATGTTCTCTTCCTGCAGCAGGACTGAGCAGCGGGCCGTGGTGCCCGCCTGCACTCTGCCAATCAGATGGTGAGTGAGTGGCAGTGCCTACCCGCCCCAGGCTGCTCCCCATCTGTGATCCAGGGCTGGGGAAGCTGGCTCCAAGTTCGCTGTTCTCAAGTTCCAGGATTCTACATCATCCTCAAATTAGCCCAGGATGTGCACATTTATGGAGTTTTAAATGAACTGGCTTTCTATTCCTGGCATCTGGTTTTTAAAAGTGCCATTAGGCTAGCCTTCTATAAATAAGCAAGTTTATGGGGCACACATTTAAAGGTAAAAGAAAAAGATTAAGAAGATCATTTGCATGAATTCTAATTTCTCACACACTTGAGGCTAACGATTAGATAGACATACGTTCAGTTTTTCTTATTGAAACCACTTGGCCTAGGCAGAGGCTAAGCAGTGTAGTGGGCAATGCAGGTTTGGCCCATGCCTGGATTCTAGGCTCTTTATCAGCAGCGCATCCTTGAGTCAGTTGCTTAGTGGGAGCCTCAGGTGTCCTCATCTATAAAATAACAGCACCTGGGGGCCGGGGGTTTAGCTCAGTGGTTTCGCTGCCTGCTGCACAAGCTCAAGGACCCGAGTTCGATCCCCTGGTACCACAAAAAAAAAAATCCAAAACAGTACCTGGCTTGCATGGTTTCAAGGCCTGGACACAGTATGTAAGTGCCTTAGCACAGTGGCATATGGCAGCCCCCAACTAAACTGTTAAGAGCAGAGAGCTGGGCCGTGGATTTAGCTCAGCGGTGCTGCCGCCTGCCTTGCAAACGCAAGGTTCCATCGCTGGTACCAAAAAAAAAAATTAAATAAATAAAATAAAATAAATCACATGTTGCACATAAAAAATGAACTCAAAGAAAAAAAAAAGAGCAGATAGCTGGCGTTAGTTTGTAAACATCCTACTATGACCACCCAAGGAAATACCCAACAACAAAAAGGGCCCTGAGGTGGCGGCTCACATTAACTCTTCCCCGCACCCAGGCTATATTCCATGGAACCAGTCTCTGTGAGGAACCCTGGTGATTCCACCATGCAGTCAGGTCGAACCCCTCTCCCTGGTGATCTGGCCTTTCTAAGCTTGCTCTCAGGCCTGAGAATCTGAAGGACTCAATGGGATCTGGAGCTCCAAAGGGAGGCCTGGTAGCCCTGTGGGGCCGGTAGATAGTCACTAAGAAAGCTGTACTAGCAGTATTAGCAGGGGCAGGAACAGCCGTCAGGCAGTTGTGTCACAGGTGGGGCAGTTGGTCAAGACGGGCCTTGTGATGCCCTAGGAATGTGCTCCGGCCCCTGGAGTTCATGATGATGGACAAGACTCCGGACTCTGAACCTGCAGAATGAGAAGGCAGTATGATCGGTGCTGTGCAAGGCACCGAGGGAAGAATCACTTCCAGGTGCCATTGGGCAGGGTTTCAGGTGGTTTTGGCTTGGCCTTGACAGATCGTTAGGTTTGGACATGTCAGTTATGTTCCTCATCTAGCAGGCAGAAGAATGAAAGTAGGGAGCATTTCGGTGGTAGCTCAGGCCGGCTGCCAGCTTCTCACAGAATTCAGAGACAGATCTCAATAATCACCCCCTGTTGCGGCTCTGGGATCCAACTCTGCACCCAGGACAAGGTTACTGTTGGTGGAAGCCTGCTGCCTAACACCTGTGAGAAGAAATGGTTTTGAAACAATTTTCCAACCACGCCCCTCCTCTTTTTGAGTGTGGAAATAGCAGAGAAAGAATGAAAGGCAGTAAGTCATTGGGTGCTGTTAAAAGTCAATATTTCGTTTCAAATTAACACGAAAGGGTCATTCCAAGTTTGACTTTATTCAATCAACAGAACATGATCTCAGCATTTCAGCCACCTCAGTAGGGCCGGGACTCTGGAGGCACTTTTGGGGCCACCAGGCCATTCTGTTAACTTTGCGGGGAGCTGTGAAGACTTTACAGATCCAGTTATATTCTCTCAAGTTACAGATAGGGAAACTGAGCCTGCAACAGGGCAGCAATCTCCTGATTCTTAGCTTCTTGGTGGGGAGGGCTGGCAGCCCTGCTGTCTGGACTGAGTGCAACACAAGGCTCGTGGTAGACTTTGGCGGGACAGGTGCGGTGAGGGGAGCCCTGGCCTTCAGCCATTCCTGTCCAACACATGAGAAACTGAGCGGAGAGGGGAAGTGACTTGGCCAAGGGCCCAGATTAGAACCCGGTCTCTTTCTTGCCTCTCAGACTCCTGAAAGAAGCTTCCACAAAGGACTGGTGTATGGCAGCATGGCCAGCCCAGAGAAAGTGATCAGGTTAATGACTTTAAATACGAATAATGTGAGCAAATGAATGGATAAAAATTGGTTCCGCTATGATGGTGTAACCTTCATGAGCTGCTCTGTTTCTGGAGCAATGCCCAGGGAAGGGGTAGGAAATGCAGTGTTAATGACAGCACGGGGCACTCAGACAACCTGCACTTGGGCCAGTAGTTCCATAACTCCTTCTTTGCTGAGCAAGACCACCTCACCAGTGTTCTGACACCAAACCTCAAAATGTGCAGGATCCTCCAGGGCCCTCTTGCCAGCAATTATCACAAAGGGGTAGCCAAATCTGTTGGCGTCTTTCAGTCTGTTTCCAATGGTCAGATGGGTACGGTCGTCCAGCAGGACCTCCCCTTGCAGCTGAGGGACCCCTTCTACGATGTGATCATGCAGGTGCTCCATGAGCTCCGTGGCTGCTGCCTCCTTGCTGCCCTTCTTAGGAGGGATGAGGCAGACTTGGAAAGGGGCAAGAAGGCTGGGCCAGCGGATGCAGTCTTCTGTAGAGAGAACTTCAATGGCAGCAGCCAAGATCCGTGTCACACCCAGCCCATAGCACCCCATTTCAGCCAGGGACAGTTCACCATGGGTGTTGGCAAACTGGGCATTGAAAATGGAGGAGTACTTGGTACCCAGGTAGAATGTGTGCCCCACCTCAATGCCTTTGGTTTTGGTCAGAGGGCCCTGGCAGGCAGGGCAGTTTGTCTGTAGTGAGTCTAGAGTCTCCACGTTGGCCGAGAAACTGCAGCTGGGACAGGTGACAAGCCGGTCCTCCCCAACATCCACCGGCAGCTGGAACTCATGAGACATGGTGCCCCCAATGCTGCCCACGTCTGCCTGAGCCTTGATAAATCGCAGCCCCAACCTGTTAAAGAGGCTACAGTAGGCATCGCACACCAGGCTGTAGGTCTGCCGGGCAGCCTCTGGGGAGGAGTCGAAGGTGTACATGTCCTTCATGTAAAACTCTCGGCCACGGAGAAGACCAAAGCGGGGCCTGGGCTCATCCCGAAACTTCCTTGTCACCTGGTACAGCAGGAACGGAAGCTGCTTATAGGACAGGTTCTTCTGGGAGGCAACCAGGGCCGTAACGGCTTCCTCGTGAGTTGGTCCTAAGCAGTATTCCTTGCCATGCCTGTCTCTAAGCCTCAGCAGCTCCTTGTACATCACCTGCCAGCGGCTGGTGGCTTGCCAGAGCTCTGCTGGGCTGAGGCTGGGCATGTTGATTTTCTGACCCCCAATAGCCTGCATCTCCTGGTCTATCATGCGCACCAGCTTCTCCATGGCACGGACAGTGTAGGGCAGGAGGTGGTAACAGCCAGGGCTTGCTGGGAGAATCAGACCCACCTGCAGCATTAGCCGCTGGCTCTTACAGATCAGGTTGCCAAGCTTGCCCTCCAGGGACAGCACCTGGTCTTCCCGAAGGTTCTGTGGCTGGAACATTCGGGACAGTACCAGGCGCTGCCCTCTCCCCGGGGCACAGTGCTGACACCTTTGGGGAAAGGACCTGGAGAGCTGGGGGCTGTGGGTAGCCAGCCTGGACAACACTCTGCATCTCGCCAGCAACCCTTCCATGGCACCCAGCACTGGACCACAGCACCTGGAGAGACACGAGGCACAGGAACAAGCATTAACTGGGCTCTGACACCATGGCACCCGCTTGGTCTGGCCTCCAGCAAACTTCTAAGCAGCCGTGGATTCTGCAGATGCGAATGCTTCTGTTTCTAATATCCTAACAGATCAAAGCACTACTTCTCTTGTGTTTTTAAAAAAAATGCCATTTAAGCTGGGCATGGTGACACACACTTGTAATCCTAGCACTGGGAGGCTCAGGCAGGAGGATTACCACGAGTTTGAAACCACCCTGAACTACACAGAGACCCTGCCTCAAAAAAACAAAACAAACAAAAATTTCATTAAAAAACATTTTTCTCATTATGAAAATATAACAACACACTGTGGGGACACCACCAAGTAGTGCCTGCACAGCCTGTGAAGCCAGGTCCCCTGGAGTCCTGGGAGCTTCCCATTGACTGCACCCTGTGTAGCTAGGACCTGTGCCCGAGCTCCTCTGTGCTCAGTGCACTCATCTGTAAAGTAACGCTGAGGCTTGTAGGCTTGCTGCAGGGACTTAAAAGACTCAGAGAAAGTTCTTAGAACTGTATCTGACACACACTATAAGCCTGATGCATGTTTTCTATTACAGAAAACTAGGAGGAAAAAACCAAAACAAAGAAAATCAACTCGAATGCCTCAGCCAACTGCTGCTGCTGTCTCACTGCAATCCCTTATTTCTTGCAAACCCTGCCCTTCCCACCTCCTGCCCTCTGGTGAAATGTCAGGATCGTGCACATTGTCTGAGCTTCACATCTATGTTTTAACCTGTGCCTGGAGAACACAATGCCCAGCTATTTCAAACTCCATGCCTGAATGAACTCAGCATCTCTCCCAAGTCTATTTCTCTCCAGAGCTGCCTATTCCTGAGTGGCTCCACAGTGCCCTCCACCCAAACCAGAAACCTAGGTTCATCTACTCTGCCTCCTGCTATGGCTCATGCTCATCAGCCCTCTGGGCCCTGTCATTCCTGCCTCCTCTCACCAGCTCTATGGCCTGCAGCTTGGTCCAGGCCACCATCACCTCCCATCTGGACTGCAACAGCCTCCCCAAGCATGGGGCTCAGGGCTGCATGCCTGGCCAACTCCAACCCACCCTCTACACCACAGTCATGGACAGGCATCGAGCACACCAAGGGTCATAGGTTTTCTTTCTGGAAATAACTTCCTGCTGCCTTGAGAATGAGGTGTAAGCTTCTGACCTTCCGGAGGTACAAGGTATCCCCACCCTTCCTGTAAACTGGGCCCCTCTGGCTCAGCTCCCTGCTGGTCTCACCCTGCTTCAGCTGCACCGTGCTCACTCTTAAAACACACTGCCTGTCCCTTCGCTACTCATCCTCCAGGCCTTGGGACTGCCACCCTGTCCCACTCCCCAAACCTCAGAAGCCTGGCCCCTGTTGGCCTGTCAAACACCAGTCACTGCCTGGAACAGCCGCTCATCTGGCTGCCTCATTCCCTCCAGACACTGAGCTCTTCGAGGGCAAGGAGCCCACCCAGCCCGCTCACCATGACATCCTCAGCAGGCAGCCAGGGCTCACTAGATGTCCAATGAATAAGAATGTTTCTTTGTGGTTTCACAAGACATTCACAAGTTTCTGGTGGCAGTGCAACCTTCCATGGTGGACTGCGCAAACGAGTCACCTGCCGCCCAGGGTGGTCGGCTTTCTCTATCACATATAAGCTACAATGAATTTCTTCTCTTTTGTTATAGATTTGGGAGATATTTCAAGAATGGAATGAAAGAGTCAAGGTTATCAACTCTTTTAAGGCTGATTTATATTGCCAAAGTTAGTAAGCACCTCAACTTTTCAGGACAGTCCATGGAGTAAAACTCCCCAGCAGAATGCTGAGGTTACTGATGAGGCTCAGCTTCGAAGCTTGGAATTCAGCAGATTCAGACCCACCAGGTGCTCCCTTTCTACCTCAAGCAGCCTCCTCCTTCTCCCCTGTGCACCGTACAAATCTGAAAAGGCTGGGAGGAGTGCGACAGTGTGGTTCAAGGAAAAGTGCAGTGCAGAAAGAACGGCACATGTGGAATCACACCTAGCTCCCCCATCTCGTACCCAAAGCCCTACCTTTGGCCAGTCCCCCAAGCCAGAAACTCCCTCACTCCTAAGGCAAGCGAGTCAGACTCCAGGATCTCTCTCAACTCCACCCGCCTCTCTGTGACCTTCCTGCCATATCCTTGAGTTATTCTGTCAATACTTCTTCCTCCACAACAGTTGCCCAGCAATCCCGACACCAAGCACTGGAAGCGCTGAGGGCTGGTTAAACACTGCTGCTGGGCCCTGCCCTCAGCAGGGCTGGAGTGGGCAGACAGCATGGACTTCAAGGAGCTCCCAGAGCCATCGCTACTGCTGCTGCTGGAAGAATCACTGCAGGAAGCTAGCTGTGGTCCTGTGCTTTCAGAGTGTGACCTCCAGGAGGGCAATGACCAGACCTGGCCACAGTGGACACATCAATGAATTAACTTAATAACTCTGTCCAGTCCTCTAAGATAGCTAAAAAGACAGCTGATCAATCACTCTGTTTATAATCCATTAATAGCTCCCCATTATAGAGTGGACCCTTGACTTACAAACTCAATTCGTTCTTGAGCACTGGTTGTAACTCAAGTTGGTCAACTGAAGGCTCAGGCTCCTCTACATAGCCTTCAAAGTCTCTCTCTTGGCCGGGGATTTAGCTCAGTGGTTTCGCCGCCTGATGCACGAGCTCAAGGACCCAAGTTTGATCCCAGGTATCAAAAAAAAAAAAAAGCTCCAAAGTCTCTCTCCTGTACACAGGCAGATCTCAGTGTCCTTAGAAAGACATTGGTCCAGGATTGCTCAATTAACCCCACATAGGAAAGGATGTTGTAATGTTCCTTCCAGAGCTCTTTAAGGGTTAAATCTGTATCTGAGACCATCTGGAAGCACAAGTGGCATTCAGGTCCTAATTCAAGACTTGATAAGTTAAATCTAAAATTCCGGTCATAACCCAAATTGTCCGTAAGTAAGGCTGGTTGTAACTCAAGGGTCCACTGTAGTTTGCTCGGAATGGCATCAAAGCTCTTCATATTTTGACACCAACATGTCTTTTGGCTTTTTATCCTTCCATTTCCCTAAAGTGCTCCAAACTGCTCATCATTCCCAGAATAGACCAATGTTCACCAACACCCAGCAACTCCAACTCATCCTTCAAGGTCCACTTATAGTCCTGGAAGCTTCTCCAGCCCCTTCCAAACAGAATGTTGCTTCCTTCTGTGTTCCCTCGGCACACACCTCCTTAGAGTATACTGTTCTGGAATCACTTCCCCCCAAAAATCTGTTTTTTGAGACAAGGTCTGTGTAGTCCAGGCTGGCCTTCAACTTGCTATGTAGCCCACATTGGCCTCGAACTTATGATCCTACATAACTTCCCAGGTTGAGACACTATTCTGTGTCAGGCACTGAGAATATATGCTGTTTTATGCACTATTTTGCTTTGTTTAGTTTTTTGAGACAGGGTCTTGGCTCTGTAGCTCAGGCTGGCCTTGAACTTGCCTCAGCCTCCTGAGTGCTGGGATTACAGGTGTGTGCCATTACATCTGGCTTCATGCTCCATTAAACTACAAGTTCATGAGGCTCCCTACACTGTTGGATTTCAGGATCTGGCACAATACTTAATATTTAGGCCTTTACTATTTCTTGGTCAGATGTATTATTAAATAAAGAGGAAAGGGCCACAATGATATAATTGTCTAGAAAATTTACATAAGAATTTTAAGCCCTCTTCCCCTACCAACTACTTGTGTGCCTCAGTTCAAACCCGTCTGCTTAAACAGAATGATTATTACTATTTTTGGTCTTTTGAGACAGGGTTTCACTATATAGTTCAGGCTGGCCTCAAACCCACAGTGATCCTCCTGCCTCAGCCTCCCCAGTGCTGATTACAGGTATATGACACCACACCTAGCGATTAGTATTATTTTTCGAGGTTATCCAGATAATACCTCAAATATAATGACATGATCCAGTGCTTCAGACTGGCACAGATCCTGAGTCATTCACGAAAGTCTTTCCTGTACCTGCTCCGTGTGGGGCAGTCTTTTCCAGCTCATGTCTTTTCTACGGCTCTAGACTCACAACGGTCCTCAGTTCAATCAAGAGCACTGCACACAGCGTTTAGAGGGCCCGGCACACAGTGTTGCTGTTATTATTGGGCGCAACTCATAGAGGTAGAGATGTGAAGCCACTGCATCAAGTGACAGAGATGCGCGCAGAGCCGCTCCAGGAGGGCAAGGGAGCTGCCTCCAAACCCCACGAAGCCTCCGTCGCGGCCCGGGCTGCACAGCAAGGCAGCCCCACACCTGGCTTGGCCTCCACCCGCGGCTGACTACTCCAGTCATCCCACCCGCTTCTCACGGCCACGAGGCGGACAAGGGCGGGAAAGAGCTGCCCTCACTTTACCATGGAGGCGGAGAGCAGGAGACAACGCTATCAGTCTATGTGATTACAACCCCGCCCCAATTCGAAGTACGGACGCACAGGGGAACACAGACACCAGGCCCTGGGACCCTGCGCCCACAACCTAGTCCGCACTCCTCAGTCCCGTGGACCCCTCAGAACCCGCCGTCATGCACTCTCACCAATTACAGTTCCAGGGAGCGCTGCCTGCCCTTATGGCGCGCCGAGCCAGTGCGCCTGCGCCAGTTCCCCCTAAGCCCCGCCTCCCACACGAGTAGCCAATCGCAAGTGCATTTAGCTAAATGAGATGAGACGCTCTGGCCCCGTCTCTCTCTAGACGTCCTGGTTGTTTTCCGGAAGTAGAGAGAGAACAGCAATGACAAGATCACTGTCCCGGAAGTGCCCTCTAGGATTTATGGAGGTTTAACTCTACGATCAAGTCGACCTCCAGGGATTTGAGTCTGGTGTTACCGCCTACTGTCAGGGCCCGCCCCATTCTCCGAATGGGAGGAAGGCTGGTGACAATGTAACTATGACAACCAGCCCAGCTGTGTCATTTCTAATCCATCCCGATTTACCAGGCTTTCAATTTAAATAACTTTAAAATTGTGAAACAGTTCGAGAAAGGCACCTTTATTACAGTGTCCAAGACGGCCTTTAAAAAAGTAGGAATTCAAACTTTCACAAAATATTTTTGAGCTGCTACCTTGTACCTGTCACTTTGCAGACATAGCATAATGAAGTGAACAAAACAGACAAAATTCCTTGCATTCAGTGCAGTTTACATTCTTGAGAGAGGAAACAGCCCACGATCCAGTATGATTTAGGTGGGCCAGGGAAGAGGGGAGAAAAGAACTTAATGATCAAATAGAACTTTGATACAATTTATTTTTTAAAAATTGAAATTAAAGCAAAAAAATCTATAGTCAAAAAATCAAAATTTTAGATAAAGGTCCGATCTTTGAAAGTTAGAAGATGTTTTCCCTGGAGAAAATTAAGGAAGGAAAATGGAGTAGGGCCAGGTGGTATGGTTGCAGTTTAAACTAAGATGACCATGGAGAGTCTCAGTGACTTTTAAAATTTTCATTACTAGGTATTTAAACCAAGGTCACTCTACTGCTGAGTTAGATCTCCGGGCCCTTTATTTTTTTTATTTTTAGACAGAGGTTCACTAAATTGCCCTGAGTGGCCTTGAATTTGTGATCCTCCTGCCTCAGCACCTCGGAGTAGCTGGGATTAAGGACATGAGCCATCATGCCCAGCAGAGAAGGTGACCTTTTAGCAAAGACCTGAAAGAAGTGAGAGACTAGGCTTGCAGGTATCTGGGAGTGTCCCATCTTGATTTGCATCTTACCTCGAATAGCTCCTAACACAGCGATTGGCATACAGACTAGAGCAGTGGTTCTCAGCCCAAGCTACACTGGAATCGTTATGTGCACCCCCCAGCCCTCACCTAGGTGATGACTGTCAATCTGGGATGGGCCTGGGCATCCATAGTTTATGGTCTCCCCCGGAGTGACTACTGTGCAGACTGAGTTGGATTGGCCGGCCTACAGGAAAGGCACAAGACAGCCGGGGAGGAGGGCGCAGGAGTGGCATGTGAGTGTTAGCTTCACGATGTTATAGGTGAGGACAATACCGCTCTGTTGGAGCCCAGGGTTAGTGTTTGCCCACCCACCAGGAGGCTGTGAAAAGCTAGATGGATCTGAGTTCGGTCCCAAGAGCTCTGCTCAGCTTCCTCACCTGGCACTGTGGGAGGGGCTTCCCCAAGAAGACAATCGAAGCCGGTATTCTCACCCTGCCTCTTTGGGGGAGGGGCAAATCATCCAGAATTTCTGGGAATCCGAAAATTCAAAGTACCTTTTTATTTCTCCCTACTCCCCAGGCACATGGTTACATCCCTTCCATTCTTGGAACAGCCAGGCAGCCTCCTCTGCACCCCGAGGTGTTATTTCTCAATTAGCAGTTCCCAGGCTGTAGAGCATAGTAGTGAGGAGAGGCCTAATGACTTGCTGTGTTACACACTCCCACATCTTCGGAGCACTTACCAGTGGTAACTAATTAATGCTCACGACCCCCTTGGGAGATAAGCCAAGAACGCTGCGTTTTACCCAAGTTTGCAGGAGGCGCTGCAGCCTGGAGCAGCAGAGCTTGGTCAGGAAGCCATTGTCAGATTTGCTCCCCACCGAGAAAGTCCAGGTGGTGGAGACCCCCAGGTAGGGGAGATCTCGCATCTGGCCCTGTCACTGCTAGTGACTTCCTTTGTGACATTTCAGTCAATCAATTGATCAGTAATTTATTGGATGCCTTGACTTGCAGAACTCATTCGTGGGTAAACCCCCCGCAAGTCACCTGTGCTTTCCTAGCATGTAGAGGTCCTGAGTTCAATGCCATTAAAAAATTTTAAAAGCTCACAGAGAAAAAATTCATTTATTTATTATCAAAAAGAAAAAGGATGCTGGGCAGAGAATTGTCATGAGTTCAAGGCCAGCCTGAACTACATGGGGAGACCCTATCTCAAACAAAATAAAACAGAAAAATGAATGAAAAGGAGTCCACAGCTGCCTTGTGCCACAAAGCCCTGGGGACACACCATACCTTTAGTGGGCTCCCTGGCCACACTGGGATCCCCTTGGGAGCAGGCACTGGTTTTTCTCTGTTCTGTATCCTTGGCCCTGAACAGAGGGCCTGGCCCAGCTCTGGGCTTGGTCTGGTTAGTTGTTAATAGACCAGCCACTAGAGATTGGTGGTTGGTCACCCCAGCTGGCAAGCGCCTCTGCAGCCAGAGCTCTTGGCCTGGCACCAAGAGGGACTCCCAGCATGGGACAAACACACAAAGGTGATGATACAGACCTCTCAAAGCAGTGAGAGGGTGCTCAGAGGGAAGAGCAAGGTGCTGCTGGGACAGCTTTGCCCAAGGGATGCAGGGGATGGGCATGTGCAGGGGCCTGCAATATTGATTATGCCCAAAGCATGCTGTAAGCAGTGCAGGCTGTAGAGAGTTAACTCCACAATTGGCTTGTTCTGAGAAGCAAGTCCAGCTGAAGCCTATGTGCCGAGGTCAGAGTAACTTGCACCCAAATTCCGTTCCCACATTTAAAACCTTCTTAACTAGAAGGACAAGGTTCTAATTACAACCCTATATTTTGTCTATTCTGTTCCTAATTTGAGAATGCTTTGTCTTTTTCCTTTACAAGCCTTGCCTGTATTAGTTTCCATGGAAACTGCATGAGTGCATGTCCTGGCACATAACTTGCCTTTACCCCAATTGATTACCATAAAAATCAGTGGCTTGGACTGACCAGTGCCTTTGCTGATTAAGCAGCATTCTCATCCTGGCTTCCTGGTTCCTCTATCTCTTTATTTCTGTCTTTTAGGTTTTTTTCTGAGCCTTGTGCCATAGCACTGAGCAGGAGATCAGAACCTACTGCAGAGGTCTCTGATAGGCATGAGATCCAGCTGTGCAGTGGGGTCAGGGAGGGCTTCTTGGAGGAGGGGACTTGGCATGGCCCTTCAAGAGCTTCAGTTCCTTTTAACAAGAGTTTGTCTCTTCTCTTGGCGTAGGATTGGGTTTATGTATGAGCAGAGGTGGTGAACAAAATGTTCAACCAGGTGAAATCCAGGCCCTTCATGCTGGTGGCTTAGAGAGAGGACTACAGCATCTGGATCCAAAGCTTACAAAATTTACTAGGGGTGCGAGCTGGGGTAAGTGGCCAGACCATGCTTGTCTCCGGCATCTCTATTATTGGGTCACTAACCTCCTTGAAACATTGTGAAGTTCGAGCAAACAACATTACAGAACTTTGTAAACTGAAAGTGCTGTCTAAATATTAGTGGTGGAGACATATTCAGGTCATTCCTATGTAAGGTCACCTGTGCAATGAGATAATGACTTCAAAGGAATTAAGTGGGGTTATGGACACGTGGCTGTTGGAGAGCATCTGGATCATAGTGCTCAGTATGGTCTGAACTAGGGGCTAACCCTCCAGTGTGGCCCTGGCCTCCATGGTTCCTCTCCCTGGGGTCCCCAATCCCCATCCACATGGCTCACTCCTTCTCCCAAGGCTGTGCAAATATCCCCTTTGAAGCCAGGACTTCCTGAAACTCCATTCTCCCTGTAATCCACCCGATAGGTAGCATCCCCAGTGCTCCTCATACCCCTCCCTGTTTTGTTTTCCCTATAGCACTTACGAGCATTAACACAGTATCTTTCCTATGTTTGATTTGTTTCTATCCTATCTGTCCCCAACTTCCCCACCAGTAGAATCTATAAGGTAGGGGTTGTTTTTCTCACTGCAGTGCCCCAGTACCTAGCCCAGAGGACACCCAACTTTCTCTTTGAAGGGTCAGATGGTATTGTAGGCTTTGCAGGCCATATAATCACTGTCACAACTACTCAATCCTGTCACATGGAAGCAGTCATAGAAATATACAAACAAATAAGCCTGGCTGTATTCAAATAAAAGTTTATTTTAAAACTGAGGGAAGATGGAATTCAGCCTGTGTCCCGTAGCTTTCCAGTTCTGGACTAGATCATTATCTGGCACATTGTAAATGCTCAGTAAATATCTACTGAATGAATTAATTGGCAAATAAATGGACGGATAACCACATGATACTTGATATGGTGTCTGATATCACCTGGTTCGCAGTAAATATACCTGCCTTCCTATTTTGTTCTTAAAAATATGACAAGATAAATTATGATGCATTAGAGCCCCAACAAAAGTTCTGTGGGAGTATTGGGGTGGCAAACTGCTCCCCTTGGGATGAAGGAGGACATCCAGAGTATATTAGAGTTCTCCAGAGAACTGGAACTCGTGTGTGTGTGTGTGTGTGTGTGTGTGTGTGTGTGTGTAGAAAGATTATTTAATTTATTTGCCTTATTTGATTATGGAGTCTGGTTAGTCCAAAACCCGCAGTCTGCAGACTCAATGATGAGCCAACTCCCGATTCAAGTGCCAGTTCCCTCTTGTTTCAGGGAAGGCCCATCTTTGTACCATTCAGACCCTTAACTGATTGGATGAGCCCCCCCCCCACAATAAGGAGGGTATCAGCTTTACTCAAAGCCCACAGATTTAAACATTAATCTCATCCAAAAACACCCTTGCAGACACATCCAGAATGTTTGACCCAAGAGCTGGGCACTGTGGCTGTCTTAGTCTGTTTATGCTACTGTAACAAAATACCTGAAAACAGGTACTTTATAGAGAACAGAAATGTACATCTCACCGTTCTGGAGGGTGGGTTATCTGACGTCAAGGC